TTTCACCGAAGCTAAGTTGATTTCAGTTTGCTAAAGCTTTGCACAGACAAAGGCTTACATGCAACAAATCATCCTCTTTACTAATCCAAACCCTTTGGCTTTCAACATGACTATTCTTTGAGAGGAAACTTGAAGTTCCCACTGCTTTTCTTTGTTCCATTGTCTGACTGATCATGTGGCCAGGTAGACCTCTCACTGACCTCTGAGATCATCTTTGATTCCACCATCTTTGATCAGGCCAATCAATTAGTAGGCTATCACAGCAAAATCGCCAGTGTTAAATTAACTCTGAGAGTGTTGAATTTAACACTAGAAAAGTGTATATATGCGTCAACTATTTTAAGTGTTAAATTAACACTTTTTAAAGTGTTAATGTTTTTACACTCACCTAGAGTTATTTCAACACTGTGAGGAGTTGAAAATTAACACTGGCTAACACCTAAGTAGTGTTGATAGTACTCTACACTTGTGTCCGTGTTAGAAACTCAACACTACCAGACTACACTTGACTCTAATAAACATTAATGGGTGTAACAATTGACTGAAGTGAAAGTGTAGAATAATTAACTAGAGGGTGTAGATTATAGACCACAAATGCCCCCTCTACAGCCAATGGCCCTAAACTGAACCCACCATCCCACACATCTTAATTACAAAAAAAATACAAGACAACTTGCTCAGAAATAATTCTCTATAAGGCACCACACATTAACCACACATTTACCAACAGTGAACTGCATGGATTGTTGTCATACATAGTTGCAGTATGGGACAATGTACATTTGGTCATCAGTCTCATAGGAAAATTGCCTATCACAAGGTCTGTAGTACACCAGGTCATCTACACAGATTACTCTGAAAACAGCCGTTTTCTCCTTGTCAACTCTAACAATTATACTGTCAATCCTGTTGAAAAAAGGCATCTCATTTTCAACTCCAGAACAGACAGACATCCCAACCTGATACTCCGTGCCATAGCTTTTGACCCAGGAAGTGGTGGAAACAGAAGACACATCAAAACTTTCATTCAGAGCCTCACCGCCCTCTAAACTGCTGACCAAGACTTCAGAAATTGGGACCAAACTCAAATCTTTTAAAATACAAGTTCTCAAAATGAAAAGCTAACTGACTTTGATGTTTCTTAACCAATGTTTTTGCAATGTTTTTAAAGTTTTTTTACTGACTTTTTGAAGGAGTTATGCTTTCCTTCAAATCTCATGCACCACATGTTTATGAGTGGCCCAGTTTTCCTAATACGGCTTGGGTAGTGGATCATTAGGTGATGTTTGGGAATCAAATTGCGCTCTGGAAAGAGAGATTTAAAAAGCTTGTGATGATCAAAAATTAGATGTTTTAAATAGGATGTCATACCATGGGTTGCAGTGGGGGGACAAACAATGATGACGATTTGTATTAAGAGGAGTAACAAGTTCCAATAGCTATCATTCCTATCAACTAAATCTCCAAATATCAATGGAATATTGCGTAAGAGGCACCATGACTGGACAGCATTAAGGCCAAGATCTTTGCTATTGTCATCCAGTTTCAGTCCACTTGGCCTGTTTTTTCTCTGTGTATATCCATAATTAAAACTCACAATTCTCTCAGACAATGAACTCAAGGATATTAAGTTTTTTATCAAATACTGAAATACAAGCTCAAGCTCATACCACTCCTTCGAGCAGATCGTGCATTATATCTACAGCATAGTTGTCTGAAGTATGGGACAACTGGAGGGTATTGGTGGACAGGCTCGTTTAACACCAAATGTTGAGGTCAAAGGAGGATTTTGTTGAATGGCATGGAGGTGTTCTGCATGCGTCTTTTGAACGAAAAGTTAAACCCGGATGATCTTCACTAAAAACTGATTGCAGCTCTCTCTTATCAGTTAAACAAAATTGACAGCGATACTTTGCACTAAATAATTAAAAAAAAACAAAAAGGCCATGTAACGCTAAGTCGTCTCCAGTAACCTGAAACACTGAACCCTTCACAGGCCTGTCTGAAAAGGGCACCTGCATTCCTTCAGTCTCTAAAATCATCAGATCCTTAACAAGTGGCTTTAGAATGGGATCAAACCCATATTTCTTCAAGTCCAATGAGTGTAACAGGGCAACAAAATGAATGTTCATTAACACAGAACTGAGCTTTGGTGGCAAATTTCTCAAAATAAAATATATACATCCAAGTTTGTGCACTCCCTTTTTTGAGCCTAATGGATTAGCAGTTTCAAAATCGTCATAGTAGAGCTGGATCTGAAGAGCATGTTCTTGTTGGGAAAATAAACTATGATTCCTAAAGTAGGAACCATCACTCACATCTCTGTAAAACCACTTCTGGTGTGGTTTTGCTTTTTGGAAAGTGCTACAGAGTTCACTGTTCCTAAACATAGAAGAAAGAGACCCCAGGATGGGTACGTACATAAACTTATCATTGACAGGAACTTGCCTATATGTGCCTGTTGTTCCATCTCTGCGCATATCAAAACGAACGCCAAGAACATGCTCTACAGGTTCTACTATTTACCATTTTTCCTCAAAATGTCTCATTCTTTTAGATTCTGTGTTAAGACATGAATGGATTTTCAAGTTTATCAAAACAATCCTCAACATGCTCTAAGGTTTCTCTAGGTGCATCAGAAGACAAACAATTAACAACAGCTTCTTTTGCATAAGCAGGGCAATAACAGAGCTGCACATGTCCAGTATGTTCCTTTTTTCAATTGGAATGTGTGTAGTGACAGTGACAGGAGGATCCACATTTACTTGCTCCACTGACGTTCCAGCTACAGGCTCAAACTCAAAATTGCTGGCAGGATCTGAATCAACACAGACTCCATGTGCTCGGGATAAGTGCCGCTTGTAACCAGAGTATGTGCAAAAAACAAATGAACATCCAGGTTCCCCACAGTTCAAACGCAAAGACCTTCCGGGGTACAATCCATGCTGAAACTTTAAATGTCTAAATAACACTGAAGAACTTGTGTGGTGTTCCTTGCAAATGTAACATGAGAACATATTACCGGCCAATGATATTACCGGTCAACAATCTCTCTCTCTCTTCAAACGGCACTGTGAAGAAGCCTTGCTCTGATTTCCTTGAGTCGGGGACTCTCCTTCATGTTGCCAACATCGATGCCGTACATGGTGGTCTGAATGAATGTGTAGAAGCTGGACAGCGCCTCATCGTAGGACACAACAAAAGAGAAATGTGCCTTGAAGAGCTTGTCAAAGGCAGCAACTCTGGTCTGCATCATGCAGGGAAGGGCCTTCTGGTCCAGGATGATGTAGAAATCCTGGATGCTGTTGCTTCTTTCTCCAACACACAGGAGATAGAGCTGAGCACGGCCAGTTTCCTTGAGGAAGGTCTTGATGCTTCTCCCCACCTGAGAGAGTGAGAAATTAATCACATGAAATAAAATTTGGAATTTGGTGTGGAGTACCAGCACTACTGCCTAGAATTAAGAGAAAATGTTTGACTCAAGTGCACAATTATTTTTTTCATGAGCACAATTTTTAGGTGCGACCAGCAGCTCTATAGGTTACTCTGGCAGTTGGTAGGTCCACAAAGCTTTGTGAATAACTCAAATGACCAAAAATGCTCAAAATGTGCATACTGCAACTAGAGACCACGAGTACGTATGCCAGAAAGAATGACCATGATTTGTCCATAAAAGGCACTACAGTAGGAAATTTGGTCGCAGCTATTATGAATTTGCACTTGTTATGAAGACAGCTGGCAGACAGCAGGTTTCTACCGTTTTTGTTTTTTTTTCCCCATTAAAGGGTTTTTTTTGGGGGGAGTTTTTCCTTATCCACTGTGAGGGTCCAAAGGACAGAGGGATGTTGTATCCTGTAAAGCCCTGTGAGGCAAATTGTGATTTGTGATATTGGGCTTTATAAATAAAATTGAAATGAATTGAGCTGCCCCTGTGTTGAAACACCATACCTGTCTGGAGAGGGATTTTATTTAATTTTTTAAATCTGCATCAGCCCCTTGCCATCTTGGCCCTTGAAAACCTCATCAGTTGATGTCTTGAGTGAAATAAGAGTTCTAAGAACATACCTTCATGAACTTTATCAGGCAGCCAGTAGCATCTGATGCGCTCATCTTTCCAGTCTTCTTGCCCTTGAATGTTGGAACATTGTGTCATCTTTGTTGAAGTGTAATGAAAAGAAAATATTCAAAAAAAAATTGGATGCAAGCTGCCACATTTGGAGAAATCTGTAAAAGGCTTGCTATTCAAATGTATATGCTCTTCCCTTACAGTCTGAAAACTCTTCAGTGCCCCCTTATATATTATAGTTCAGTAAGCTTTAACAACCTTCCCTGCCCCCATACTAAATCTTTTGTCACTCAGATTAGGGGAAAAAACTCACTGTCAAAGGCACACAGAGTACTCTTTTCTACATCACTGCAGAAAGGTTAGATATTAAACCACTGAAGGTCAGCAAAAACATGGTTTCAGGTGTTGTTAAAATGCTCATTAAAGGTGTCTGAAGTGCAAAGCCGCAAACTTTAATTATTTTCGGACCTCTAAAAAAGCAGAAAGTATTGTAAAAAGTGAGGTTTGTTTTATGGGAATGTAGTCATGGTGCTTCATGGCCCATGGACAAAGTGGATAAAAAGTGGCTTTAATCTACTCCATTGAAATTTAAAAGTAATAACATTAAATGGTGTATGTGTATTGCAGTTTAACATGCATGGACAAACAAGGAATTGTATGATAAGTCATCAATTTGAGTGACATTAAATGCCACTCCCTTAATATGTAAATGAGCCCAGAATAATAAATCTGCTCTGACTATGCTGCTCAGCAGCACAGAGGCAGAGAAGCCCCATCAGTGAAGATGCACAAACCAGGATTAATAGGCATGGTGTGAAACCTACAAGCACTAAAATCAACCTTTGAATCTGTATGTAGAAAACTGTGTTAAATTTTCTAGATTTAAGTCATATTATTATTGCAAATGTTACCTCAGTAGTAAGAACATTTATGCATGGAACCCACATTCTTTCCCAACAGGTCTGATGATCTCTGTAATGAATCTGCAAATGTATCTGGCATAACAACAGTCATAACTTCATATGTATTATGTGTCTTTGTTGGCTGTTTATCAGTTCTTATAATGTGTGGAAACCTTCTGGTAATAATCTCTATCATATACTTCAAACAGCTCCACACTCCTACAAACTACCTCATCCTCTCTCTGGCTGTGGCTGACCTGCTTGTTGGTGTTGTAGTTTTGCCTTTTAGCACACTACTGGCTGTAAGCTCATGTTGGCATCTTGAAGGTTTGCTCTGTAAAGTCAGACGCTGCTTTGATATATTTCTGTGCACATGTTCTATTTTAAATTTGTGTTTTATTTCTATTGATAGATATTATGCAGTGTGTCAGCCTCTGAGGTACAGAACTAAAATAACTGTCCATGTTATTGTGATCATGATCCTAGTGAGCTGGACTGTTTCTGCACTAAATGGAATTGGCCTCACAATTCGAGGACTGAATGAAGAACAATCTAACAGGTGTGTTTTATTTCAGCGTCTCACAAGTTTAGGAATTATGGGAACCTTTTTTGCTTATTACCTCCCAGGTATTGTAATGTTCATCATCTACCTAAAGATCTTGATGGTGTCACAGAGACAGGTACGCAGCATCCAGAACACAATCTGTCAGAACACAAAGTCTGGAGCAACCATCAGTAAGATGGAGAGAAAGGCCACCAAAACTCTGGCTATTGTTATGGGAGTTTTTCTCATCTGTTGGACTCCTTTCTTTCTCTGTTTCACCTTTTACCCTTTGAGTAATTACACAATACCAGTTTCTGTGATTGCATCATTTAAATGGCTTGGATGGTCAAATTCAATGCTCAATCCATTTGTCTATGGTTTCTTTTACACCTGGTTTCGAACATCTTTCAAAATGATAATTTCTGGGAAAATATTTCAAGGTGATTTTACTAATTTTAAGCTTGTTTGACTCATTACTGAGGTGTGAACATGGATATATTGACAGGGTTTACACTGAAGATTAGCATCTCTTTCCCACTATATGGCATATCTTTACATCAAAGTTATCACTGTTCTAGATATACAGTATCTGTACATACAACTCAGTGTGCAGATTAGCCCCTCATCAGTGATGGACTCAGGATGTTTGAAGGGCAGAGGCGAAAAGGAAAAAAGGGCACCTACTGCATGACATGGGGCCCCAGTGGTGCACAAGAAGCTAATGCGTCATATATAGCGAAATAGTCTTCGTCCTTGATTCTTAATTAAGATTATACAGACAATCCAGGCTAAAAGTATGTTTAAAATGTTTATTTTATAAACTAAAGAAAAGAAAAGATTTTACACAAAGGAAAACTGAAAATCAGCAATAAACAAAGAAGACAGCATAAGTCTTTGTAGGCTATGTGCTGGCTCTCTTGATACCACTCCTTGTGGAATGGACACCCCTCTGTTTTTGGATAACTTATAACTGGTTGACAAGGCCCAACAGAGCAGCAAAACTCAACAAATCTCTCAGAGTGGTGGTCTATGCTGTGCTTTTGAAGATGAGCGGGATCAGTGGGAAACATTAAGGACGATAGGAGAGGGTACATGTTATTTGTTTTATCCCTTGACTCATTTCTCTCCATAGCATCATCTGTATTCTCTGTTTCTTCATGTTCATCATTATTTCTCTCCACAGCATCATGTGTATTCTCCCTTCATCCTCAACTTCATCTCTCTCCCTGATATCATCACTTTGCTCTTGAATGTCTTCATATCCTCTATCTGTCTTGCATCCCTTGGCTCTCTGATATTTCGATCACTCTCTGTACATTCTTTATCTAAGGTGGAGAAAATAATATTTGTATTGTAATAGTTGAATATAATTTCACTGTAGGCTATGTAATATATGTCTAGTTTTGCAACAGATGCTCAGTGATTATGGCTCTGCAGGACAAGCTAGCTAGCAGTGAGGAGTAAACATACCTTTATTCTTAGCTCCTCCCTTGCTACTTTGGACCCAATTTTCCAAAGAGATGCTCCCTTTTGCAGCATTTTCCAGCTGCATTTTTATTAACTTTTGTTTCCTTTCTTTCCCTGGCATTCTGGAAGTGTAGATTATTGGCCAATCAAACTTAATACCTTCTGTTTATATAAAAATTTAGAGCGAGGCTAGCACAGGATAATCAACTAGCTAGCTTCTTAGCTAAAGCTAGTTATCTCACATTAGCTAGGCTACCAGGCTAAAACGTGATACCACATGCTGCTACTATCAATAAAAGCACTTGCAGTATACATACATTCATTAGTAATGCATCATTGGTAAAACTCAGTCTTTGCAACTTTGCTATAGCCCATTACCCACCTCAGCCAAACACAGCAGTTACATCTCAGAGTGCATTAAGCTCCCTCTGACATCTGAGCATTGGAGAGGGGTGTGTCTAAACTGAACACTTACATTGATGGAGTAGTACATTTTTAACAATGGCAATCAGTATTTTATTTAGGCTACACTTTATTATGTCATCACTGGCAATGATGCGTTTTTTTTTTTTGTTTGTTTGTTTGTTTTTTACTTTCAAATACAGTTAACCTAATCTAAACAATATAGAGAGAAAAAAATAGGGACTGTGCATATCAAAGTGCTAACTAGATTTTAGCCCATTAGCCCTTTGCAAAAATGCAGAAAATATTTGCTAAGGGCCATACAATGTGTTTTGAAAGCAAGCAGGGTTTGACTATTTGGAAGTTGCAGACTGTCGTCATTGCACCCACTTTGGGAAAGCCTGCCTTAGTAAATTTGGGGAGACTGTTGTTACTACAACATATTTTCTCTTCATTGTGAGGGCACTTTATAATGTGTTTTCTTGGAAGGGCATCTAAGAGATCACTTGATAACAGCACACCTTTCCACGGAAGGGCACCCATAGAGGGTTTAGACAACTGACAATCTTTGTAGCACTGCATCCCATTTTCTCTACTGGAAAGGGCACCATTTGGGCAACTGTCATATAGTGGCAGCATAGAGGGCACTGTAGAATGGCGCCATAACTGTTCATCGTTTAGACCATTGGAAGGGCACCAATAGGGCACTGCATCACATATCATCCACTGACAGAGAATCATTGAGACACATTATTGAATTTTCTTGTTGTTTTCTATATGAAGGGCAGCCGATAGGGCACATCCTCTGGTTTCGTCACTCAAAAGGGCAGCCAATAGGGAACATCGTCTCGTTTTGATCACTCAAGAGGGCAGCCAAAAGGGCACGTCCTCTCATCTTTGTTAATCAATGGGGCAGCCTTGGGGCGTCGGTGGCTTAGTGGTAGAGCAGGCACCCCATGTACAAGGCTGTTGCCGCAGCGGCCCGGGTTCGACCCCAGCCTGTGGCCCTTTGCTGCATGTCACTCCCTCTCTCTCTCCCCCCTTCACACTCATCTGTCCTATCAATTAAAGGCTTAAAAATGCCTGAAAAAATTTCTTAAAAAAAACGGATCAATGGGGCAGCCAAAAGGGTACATCTGCTCATTTTCATCCAATAGGGCACATCGTCTTGTTTTGATCACTCAAGAGGGCAGCAAAAAGGGGCCATCCTCTCGTTTTCACCACTCATGAGGGCAGCCCAAAGGGCACATCTGCTCATTTTCATCATTCAAGAGGGCAGCTGATAGGGCACATCCTCTCATTTTCGCCCCCCGAGTCCATCAGTGCCCCTCAAACAGCATGTATTCTGTGTGAATGTCTGTAAATAAATGTAGGATCCACATATCTCACTGTGTCTCATTTACTGTTAGCATTCACCCAGATAGCACACATACATCTGGCCGACGTCGGCCTGAGGACGACACATCGGCCCTGAATTTATAACATCTGACAAGCGTCAGCCGCATGGGCGGATATCTATTGGGGCGGCAGTAGCTCGAGTCCCCGTCCGGACCAAAATATGGAGCGTGGACTGGTGGCTGGAGAGGTGCCAGTTCACCTCCTGGGCACTGCTGAGGTGCCCTTGAGCAAGGCACCAAACCCCCCAACCGCTCGGGGCGCCTCACCAAGGGCAGCCCCCTCACTCTGACATCTCTCCACTTTGTGCATGTATAGGTCCTGTTTGTGCAGGACCTGTGTGTAATTGACAAGCAAGAGTGAAAACACTGAATTTCCCCTCAGGGGGATTAATAAAGTAAATAAACTTAAACTTAATAAATTTAATACTCTTTTGTCCCAGCTCATCAAACGTCTCTGTTACGTTGGCTTTGGGTCGGCCCAGTGCCACAGAATGTCTGCCCACATACGGAAGTCGCCACAGAGGCGGAATTTCATCTCTGCCGTCTTTTTGCCGTGTGTTTGGAACTGAGCTCGCAGGACAAAGCATCTCATTGCAGTTGGTTTCAAGTAAGCTAACTGGAATAAATTGGCAGAAAATAGCTATGTTGTTTCTTCTGTCACCGTTAAAAGAGGTTCCTGGTGAGTGGTGAGGCACGACTGGGTGTATATAGCTTAGCGCAGGTCCCCACCAGCTAACGTTACCTTTCGTTAGCTGTTAGCTAGTTTAGCGGTTTAGCTCATGTTAGCTAACAGGCTACAGCTGTGGTGTTTTTTTATTTTCCCTAGCTGACGTTATCTGCTCATCTGGTTATCGTGAGCACTCGTTTTGGGTTAAAGTGGAAGTGCCCAGAGCTGCCACCTGTGGTCCCGCGGCCCCCCGGCCTGACCTCTGGGGCCCTGTACGGATGCTCAAGTGTGGATGACAGGAGCGGAGAGAAGCGGAGAGGACCGCGGAGGTAAGGCGGGGCAGGCCGACACTGTGTATCCCAGAATGGGTGCTCAAGTGTGGGTGACAGGAGTGAAGAGGAGCGCGGACGTCAAATAGTGAAGTTTAAGGATGCCTTCGGTATGTTGTTAATGTGATTTTATGGGCAATTTATCAGTCGAGGTCTCCTCCTCTGCAAAGCAAACTGACCCGGTGGCTACAGATAATAGCGCAGTTTTGAAACCACTGTTTTACCGAGATGAAGGACTGATTGTTGAGCTGCTGTTAACAGTTAACGGAGTTAATGCCGGATCCTGTTATTTAACAGTTTCAACACTAAATTAAGCAGAGTGACCCAAATTTTTTAATCTGGCTAAAAGACAGCTGAAATGCTAACAAAAAAAAAAAATACAGTGGTGAAGTTGGGATTTGTTTCTTGAAGTTATGTGCTCATCATCTTTTCTGTGTCTTGCAGGCTGAAGGAGAAGTGGACCGGCCGTCAGATATTGTTTGTGGAAATTTGAAAATAATTAAATCAATCAAATTGACTTTTGTCTCTTCATTGTGCCCACTTACACACGAAATAGGATAACAGTCAGCTATTTTTGAATGTTAGCATTGATTTCTCACATTGAATGGTGAAATATTTGTAGTTTGATAGGTTCGACTTAAATGAATAAAGGTCGTAGTTAACGAAGCATATGAATATTAATGAAGGAGCGCCCACTGAGCGCAGCTTCTTTATTGATCGTTTGAACGTTGCGTGGTGGTCATTTTCCATTAAAGGCCGACGTCTCAGCGACGTCTTGGCAATGAGCAAACGCTCTCCCTGCTATGTGTTAACGATCTAAACTTGATACATCGGGCTGACGTTGGCCAGATGTATGTGTTTCTATCTGGGCAGTAACACTGCATCTCTATGTTGAATACTGGAGTACAACTGAGTTTTTAAATGACTTTAACTTCACTGCACTTTCTGCTTATACTGCAACTATATGCAGGAGTAAAGGAGTACATCTCTGAAATGTTATCTGGCTTTGGATTCACAACAGAAAGGCCCTTGCTACAACACAAAAAGCTTTAAACTGACCTGTAAGGATTTAATAAGTGGTAAAATGATCTCTTCTTGACAGTAGTTTTCAGGCTTGTTCCTTCATATTTTTGTTTTGGCTGCAGATGGTAAAAGAATGCAGGAACAGACTGAGGTTTCATCATTTAAAATGATCTTCAATAAGGCAGGATGACTGCACAGTACATTTACAGTGAGATTTAAATCAGTATCTTTAGCAGCAAGGTATGCATTGGTCACAACACAATGAAGATAACTGAGGAAGGATGACCTCACGTTTATGGATGTATATTGTCACATTTAACGTGTTTTACAATGCTGGAAAATACAGGTTAATAAGTTCTGATTATATATAGGCTATTTGTATATATTTGTATATGTACAAAAAGTTGTGACAATGTGAAAAATAAAATTGAATAAAAACAGCACAATGATTTGCACACCATTTTTAAAGAACATTGGAGAAAAATTCAACATGTCATTTTTTCACATTCCAATGCATCTATTTCAGTGACATTTAGGCCAGACATTGCTATTAATTCAATAAAACTGCACTGATAAAGAAATCGTTAACATTTTAATCCATAAAAATTATGTGCAATAAAGTGAAAAAACACAGAAAAAGGTTTTCAATATGTCAACTGAAATATATTTAATAGGCCACTCGGAGAAGCCTTTGTTTGCAATGCCAGCTTGAATATGCTTATAAATAACTACTCTCTCTCTCTCTCTCTCTCTCTAATCTTTGCGATTTTGGGCCAATCTCCCAAACAGACAACCTTGAGAGCTTGAAAATTTGTGGATGGGGGAGCAATTCACTGAGAACGTTCAACAATTAGTGTCACAGTTACCAAACACTGGGTAAGTTACTTACAAGAAATGTTATGTAACACAGTAGACATGCTTTCAGGGTATGTGGGTATTTCTTTATTGTTAGAGTTCCTTAATTATCCACCTAAAACACACAAGGCATACCCAAAATCAATTGAGAACTGTTGTTCTATTTTTAGTACATGTTCAGTCTCACTTAAAAAGTAAAGTTCTGAAGTTTTTTCCTCAACAGTCGGAATCACTGTAAGTGATTCTAACACTGAATTAGTTTAAGTTTAAAAACACTGACATAAAATGTTTTTTTACATGTGCCTGAAAATTTTCTTGAGAGAAGATGCTGCAAATGACAAGAACTGGGAGGTATTGGCTGGAAAACACAATGGGGTCATAACATGATGCCCAACATAACCCACATTCAAAGCAGATACCAACATCACAGAGAGAACATTTGCTACATTTTTTCCAGGTGCTTTTAAGAGGGTAAAGCTCTACTGAACATGTGATTATGAGTGGAAAAACTAATCAACACAGACACAAATGTCTATTTAGGAGCTTACTGTATATAAAAACACTTCTTGACAACCTAAATTGATATGAAACATCCTGTTAAAACATTGGAGCCATTTGTTTATTATTAAAATACATGTAAGACTGCTGAACTGTGTCCATAACCCAGTGGGACTGCCGACGCTTCAACAAGGATCTGCCCTTTTTTGTTAAGTCTAGCAATTTATTTATTTATTTATTCAAGAAAAGGGACAGTGTGCATTTATCAACATTTTAACAAATGTAAATGCACCTGAATTAGCTAAAAGGCTAGTTTTCATTGGCAGTCCCTTCACCAGCTGTAAAAAGGCATCCTAGAAAAACTTTATAACATATATATTTATATACATATATATTCTGACCATTAAAGACCCCCAGAAGGGAACCATCCCATCCAACTAGATAGACCAATAACCTGTCTCTCCACAACATGGAAGCTCCTGTCAGGCATCACAGCGGCTAAGATAACTAGGCATATGATCCTGTGATGGCCATGCCCACAGCCACACAAAAGATTGAAGCATTCACACACTCACAGACACCATTACCACATGTTCAGTTACTTTGAGTTGCAGTCAGTTCAGTTACATACAACACACATGTAGTTTGTTTTGTTTAAAATGTGTTTAATAGCACTTTGACAACACACTGTTTTCTAAATGGAGCGCATACATTTACACTGCCAGATTTTCCGCAAATGTTGGGCCGTTTTCCCGGCAAGCTGTGAGTGTTTATACACACACAGAACCGGATTGGTGAGTTGATCCGAGGTGCACAATTTTCCGCCTCGTAGGGTAGTCATACTGGCAGAACCTTTATAGTTTAAACAGACCAAGGCGGCCTTCCGCAACGGGAGCGGCTGTTGATGACGCCGCATGTGCGACCCACTGGCGGTGGATAAACAGGAAACAGCTGAAAGCAGGAATTAGCGAGCAGCTAGTGGCAAGAGGGAAACGCAAACCTGACAGACACTGTAAAGATGAGCAACTGGGGAGACAAGGAATTGCGCACCCTCCTTGCCCTCGCAAACGAAGAGGCCATTAACCGTCAGATGATGGGGACAGTGAAGAATGGGCCAACTTACTAGAGAATCGCTGAAGGACTGACCAGCCGCGGCTTCCCTCCCGTCACACGCTGAGCTACACATTTTGTTGCTAGCTCACGCGCCCCATTGCCCCGAAAAAGGCACATTCTGTATAAACAAAAGTAGGTAAGTGACATTTTGCTGCACTCCACGATTTTGTTTTTATACTGCCAATGCTGAAAAAAGACTGACTGGCCTCAGAGCATGTGAGAGGAGCGGACCGGGTGACAATTTCCACTCCTACCCTAACCTGTAATCATCTATTCACAAATAAAACATGAGCTTGGTAGATTCTCCGGGGAAGCCCTCTCCCCACAGTTAGGGACCGTTCTCCACAGTGCCGCTGTCGGAAGGGTGGAAATGAGTCAAAGTGTGGAGGAGAAGGACCAGGTTAAGCGGCCGACCTCCAGGGAAGCCTGCTCCCTTCTCCCAGCAGTTAGGGACCGTTCTCCAAGGTACCGCTGCTTCTCTTCTCAGTTTCTTTTCTGAAGTACACAATAAACTCCATAGTTTTGAAAGAAAATAGTGTGGGTGTGCACAGGTGCAAAGATGCAAAGATGCATTCTGGGTGGGGCATGAGTGACCGGAGTGAAATTGGAGCGAGAGATAAGGCTCCACTCCACCTTTTTAAAAAAATAGCCGCTCCTCGCTCAACACAAAATCCTTCTGCTCCCCACTCAGCTCTGCTCCAGCTCTGCTCCGCTGACATGCTCTGATTGGGCTTTCCTGCAAATTTGCACAATTCCGATCTAAAAAGGGCTATTGTTTGTCATTGGTGGCCGTGACTGGGATGAATGACTACCTTACCTCCTCTTCACACATAGCGAAGTACCCCAAGCCTCCACTGGTTTCTCTCCCTTTGAATTGCTGTTTGGTCATGAAGTAAGGGGCACTCTGTCTTCACTGTGAGAGATTTGGAAGGTAGATCACACAGGGAGGGAGGCTGTTAGCGTAATCACTTACGTTGTGCAGATGTCAGACCGACTAGAAAGGATGAGTGAGCTCGCCCAATCCAACATGGCGGAGGCCCAGCAACATCAAAAGGCTATATCTGATGCTGTGGCTGTTTGTGGTTGGCTGAGAGGGATGTGAACTTATCAGTTTGCAGCTGTGTTACTGTAATCAAATCAGGTTGGGTTTCCATTACGCGTGCCAAACGGTGCCAATCCCCTTTGATCTGACATCAGATGTGACGGGACAGTCGATATAGAGATACATTTATAGTCTCCTCAGCTGTAAAACGCTCACTCTTTGCAGTTGGTAGGTCTGCCATCTAACTAGCTCACCGCCGTGCGCTCCAATCGCGCCTCCTTAAAGGGAATGAGAGGTGACACTCTGATTGGCTTATTGAATGATCCGCCCAAAACACACCCATGACTAATTCACAGAGTAAGTCCAACCCTTTTAGACTCTCCGCCATGGCGCACAGTCTGAGAACGCGCTGTCTAACTAGCAAGTGACTGGGACACACCCATGCGCCGCACGCCTGGCGCTTTGCGTTTTAGACCATCTAAATAGGGCCCTCAATGTGTAAATAACACTGGAGAACTTGTGTGGTGTTCCTTGCAAATGTAACATGAGAACATATTACCGGCCAATGATATTACCGGTCAACGATCTCTCTCTCTTCAAACGGCACTGTGAAGAAGCCTTGCTCTGATTTCCTTGAGTCGGGGACTCTCCTTCATGTTGCCAACATCGATGCCGTACACGGTGGTCTGAATGAATGTGTAGAAGCTGGACAGTGCCTCATCGTAGGACACAACAAAAGCGAAATGTGCCTTGAAGAGCTTGTCAAAGGCAGCAACTCTGGTCTGCATCATGCAGGGAAGGGCCTTCTGGTCCAGGATGATGTAGAAATCCTGGATGCTGTTGCTTCTTTCTCCAACACACAGGAGATAGAGCTGAGCACGGCCAGTTTCCTTGAGGAAGGTCTTGATGCTTCTCCCCACCTGAGAGAGTGAGAAATTAATCACATGAAATAAAATTTGGAATTTGGTGTGGAGTACCAGCACTGCTGCCTAGAATTAAGAGAAAATGTTTGACTCAAGTGCACAATTATTTTTTTCATGAGCACAATTTTTAGGTGCGACCAGCAGCTCTATAGGTTACTCTGGCAGTTGGTAGGTCCACAAAGCTTTGTGAATAACTCAAATGACCAAAAATGCTCAAAATGTGCATACTGCAACTAGAGACCACGAGTACGTATGCCAGAAAGAATGACCATGATTTGTCCATAAAAGGCACTACAGTAGGAAATTTGGTCGCAGCTATTATGAATTTGCACTTGTTATGAAGACAGCTGGCAGACAGCAGGTTTCTACCGTTTTTGTTTTTTTTTCCCCATTAAAGGGTTTTTTTTGGGGGGAGTTTTTCCTTATCCACTGTGAGGGTCCAAAGGACAGAGGGATGTTGTATCCTGTAAAGCCCTGTGAGGCAAATTGTGATTTGTGATATTGGGCTTTATAAATAAAATTGAATTGAATTGAGCTGCCCCTGTGTTGAAACACCATACCTGTCTGGAGAGGGATTTTATTTAATTTTTTAAATCTGCATCAGCCCCTTGCCATCTTGGCCCTTGAAAACCTCATCAGTTGATGTCTTGAGTGAAATAAGAGTTCTAAGAACATACCTTCATGAACTTTATCAGGCAGCCAGTAGCATCTGATGCGCTCATCTTTCCAGTCTTCTTGCCCTTGTATGTTGGAGCTTTGTGTCATCTTTGTTGATGTGTAATGAAAAGAAAATATTCAAAAAAAAATTGGATGCAAGCTGCCACATTTGGAGAAATCTGTAAAAGGCTTGCTATTCAAATGTATATGCTCTTCCCTTACAGTCTGAAAACTCTTCAGTGCCCCCTTATATATTATAGTTCAGTAAGCTTTAACAACCTTCCCTGCCCCCATACTAAATCTTTTGTCACTCAGATTAGGGGAAAAAACTCACTGTCAAAGGCACACAGAGTACTCTTTTCTACATCACTGCAGAAAGGTTAGATATTAAACCACTGAAGGTCAGCAAAAACATGGTTTCAGGTGTTGTTAAAATGCTCCTTAAAGGTGTCTGAAGTGCAAAGCCGCAAACTTTAATTATTTTCGGACCTCTAAAAAAGCAGAAAGTATTGTAAAAAGTGAGGTTTGTTTTATGGGAATGTAGTCATGGTGCTTCATGGCCCATGGACAAAGTGGATAAAAAGTGGCTTTAACGTACTCCATTGAAATTTAAAAGTAATAACATTAAATGGTGTATGTGTATTGCAGTTTAACATGCATGGACAAACAAGGAATTGTATGATAAGTCATCATTTTGAGTGACATTAAATGCCACTCCCTTAATATGTAAATGAGCCCAGAATAATAAATCTGCTCTGACTATGCTGCTCAGCAGCACAGAGGCCGAGGAGCCCCATCAGTGAAGATGCACAAACCAGGATTAATAGGCATGGTGTGAAACCTACAAGCACTAAAATCAACCTTTGAATCTGTATGTAGAAAACTGTGTTAAATTTTCTAGATTTAAGTCATATTATTATTGCAAATGTTACCTCAGTAGTAAGAACATTTATGCATGGAACCCACATTCTTTCCCAACAGGTCTGATGATCTCTGTAATGAATCTGCAAATGTATCTGGCATAACAACAGTCATAACTTCATATGTATTATGTGTCTTTGTTGGCTGTTTATCAGTTCTTATAATGTGTGGAAACCTTCTGGTAATAATCTCTATCATATACTTCAAACAGCTCCACACTCCTACAAACTACCTCATCCTCTCTCTGGCTGTGGCTGACCTGCTTGTTGGTGTTGTAGTTTTGCCTTTTAGCACACTACTGGCTGTAAGCTCATGTTGGCATCTTGAAGGTTTGCTCTGTAAAGTCAGAAGCTGCTTTGATATATTTCTGTGCACATGTTCTATTTTAAATTTGTGTTTTATTTCTATTGATAGATATTATGCAGTGTGTCAGCCTCTGAGGTACAGAACTAAAATAACTGTCCATGTTATTGTGATCATGATCCTAGTGAGCTGGACTGTTTCTGCACTAAATGGAATTGGCCTCACAATTCGAGGACTGAATGAAGAACAATCTAACAGGTGTGTTTTATTTCAGCGTCTCACAAGTTTAGGAATTATGGGAACCTTTTTTGCTTATTACCTCCCAGGTATTGTAATGTTCATCATCTACCTAAAGATCTTGATGGTGTCACAGAGACAGGTACGCAGCATCCAGAACACAATCTGTCAGAACACAAAGTCTGGAGCAACCATCAGTAAGATGGAGAGAAAGGCCACCAAAACTCTGGCTATTGTTATGGGAGTTTTTCTCATCTGTTGGACTCCTTTCTTTCTCTGTTTCACCTTTTACCCTTTGAGTAATTACACAATACCAGTTTCTGTGATTGCATCATTTAAATGGCTTGGATGGTCAAATTCAATGCTCAATCCATTTGTCTATGGTTTCTTTTACACCTGGTTTCGAACATCTTTCAAAATGATAATTTCTGGGAAAATATTTCAAGGTGATTTTACTAATTTTAAGCTTGTTTGACTCATTACTGAGGTGTGAACATGGATATATTGACAGGGTTTACACTGAAGATTAGCATCTCTTTCCCACTATATGGCATATCTTTACATCAAAGTTATCACTGTTCTAGATATACAGTATCTGTACATACAACTCAGTGTGCAGATTAGCCCCTCAACAGTGATGGACTCAGGATGTTTGAAGGGCAGAGGCGAAAAGGAAAAAAGGGCACCTACTGCATGACATGGGGCCCCAGTGGTGCACAAGAAGCTAGTGTGTCATATATGGCGAAATAATCTTCGTCCTTGATTCTTAATTAAGATTATACAGACAATCCAGGCTAAAAGTATGTTTAAAATGTTTATTTTATAAACTAAAGAAAAGAAGAGATCCTTGATTCTTAAATATGGCGAATGTTCAAAACACCTTTTGTTTTTTAAATAAAAAAAGTGTTCAAAGCTATGCAGGTCTTTATCTTTGTTGCTTAATGTACATTTTATTTACTCAGATACACACATAAACTAAAAATAATGGCTTGGATTTGAATTAATTGAATTGACTTCATAAAACATGCTTTTGGCTGTGACTCAAGAATTCATGTGCTAACATTTTGAACAAATGTCTAATAGGATAAAATGATGATATCCAAAAAGTGAAAGGTCAACTTCACTGTGACATCATCATGTTTTAATGTCATATTTCAGGAACAGAACGGGAGACATTTGGTCAGATACTGAATTGGTGACTCTAATCTTGAAACCGTGCTGACTGTATAGATCTTGTGTGTGTGTGTGACGCATCCCTGTTTTCACAGACATAGATGGAAACTGCAAAAAAAACTTGACATGGGCACAGAGGAATACAAGCACAAGGTGATAATTCTAATTTCAAGTGATCATCTGTGAATTCAAAAAGTCGTTCTTCATCTTCAGCATCAGTGTCATCTTCATCCTGGCTTTTAGATCTTGAGTCCTGGTCATTCTTACATTGTTTACTGTAAAAGCAAAGGTCAGTGCATTGTAACTTTCTTGACCTACAGGGACGTCTTTGTGTTGAACAATCTCCTTGACATCTCATCATTTTGATGATGGCCTGAGGAGCTTGTAGTACATCGGTAGTTGTGGGTCTCAGCTAGCCTTTATCATCCATTTAGCCATTCTGCAGAGGATTCAAAGGTACTTGCTGTCGAATGCTTGCCTGGCCTCAAACTCGAGCTTGCACATGTAGCTCCCCTATCAATAAGCTGTTTCAGCACATCCTCTATAGGTGGTAGCTTTTTTTACTCTAAAAGGTGTCATCTCAGCTCTGAAATGTTTCTTTTGAGTAACAGGAAACACACAAACCTAGTCAAGCATTTCTGTTTTTCCTCTGTTGTGTAAAATTATCTGAATCATCCTCAGAACTTCAATGCAAATAGTTTTTGGAGATCCCCAACAAAGGCCCCTAGATAAGATTCAAATCAGCAAAACTTGAATGCTAACTGTTCAAAGATGTGAGGTGAGATGTCGCCAATGCCATTCAGACACACCTCAGATATCTAGCATGTTGAATACCTGGACCTGTTTGGGACTGTGTCAGTGAGCTACAACCAGTGAGGGTGCAAGACACAGGTTAAGAACAGAGACAAAACAAAGGTGTGTTTGTGTGTTTGAGAGAAGAGAGAGAGCAGAGACCATTGAGCAATCCAGTTGGCTCACATCAGACTTTCCCCTCTGTATCTGTGTCATACGGGTTTTGCCACTGCCCTGCCCTTTAAGAAGACTAGTGGCAACCCTGAGTCTATTCATTCCAATGAAAAGTGAATGTGAGTACAGATTATGACCAAGCTACTGTTGTTTTACAAATTAAATCCACCACAGACTCAGTGAATTCACCGATGACATCGTCAGAGGTGTCCTGGAAGGTGTTCTATCCTCTGTTTGGCTCCGCTGCATCACTAGGGGATGTGTTGAAGTGTGTTTGCATATATCAACCTCAACAAGACAGTCGCATGGTTGCAAGCAGAAACAGGACAGCACCTTACATTCATATTGTCACACTAGTCCTTATTTACCCTTAAGCACACACCTCTTCCCTTCCCTCTTGCAAGAGTTTTCTGCTCTGTCAGACAAATAGAAAAAGAGTCTGAATGATGCTGTCCATCTGTGCCTATCTTTTAGCTGTCAAGCAACTGAAAACTGCTAATTAACTTATCGTGTTTAACATTAGCTAGGTATGCCAACTAGTGGTTAAAAAAGGCCACTCAGGTAATCTTTGCTGTTGTTAGTCAGCTGCAAACACAGCACTGGTCACTGTTTTGAAAGTCCAAGATGGCTGCCACAGAGACTCTGGAAAAAAAGATAAAACGTTGGTTTTGGGGTTTGTCACACTCTGAACTTTCCAAAAATATATATTTTCTAAACTCCCAAAAATTTTTGAACAAAGGCTGAAATCAGGACATTGTGAACATGCTGAGACTGCCATTCATCCCTGCTATGAAACAGATAATTTCATTTACATACTGACAAAGACCCCTTCCATTATATGTGTTTTATTATGTATTTTCCTTATGTTATTGTCTGTTATAACAATTTGGAAACCTTCTTGTTATCATCACTGTCCTTTATTTCCAACAGCTCCACACTCCTACAAATGACCTTATTCTTTCTCTGGCTGTGGCTGACCTGCTTTTTCCTTTTAGCTTGGCCTTCTCAGTTAGCTCATGTATATATCATGAGGGTTTATTTTGCAAAGTCTGAGGCAGTTATGATGTATCACTGAACACAACCTCTATTCTGAACCTATGTTGTATCTCTATTGACAGATATTATGCAGTGTGTCAGCCTCTGTTTTTCTTTATCCGCTGTGAGTGTCCAAAGGACAGAGGGATGTCGTATGCTGTAAAGCCCTCTGAGGCAAATTGTGATTTGTGATATTGGGCTTTATAAATAAAATTGACTGATTGATTGATGTTTGTGTGTATGCACTGAACAGCAGGGCAGAGTACCCTGCTTTCTTGGAGTCTCTGGGCGGTGTCCTGGAAGAGGTGCTGGCTGGGGACTAGCCTGAAGGGGGTGATTGGGAGGAACGGCCTGCCTGACCTGAACCCAAGTGGTGTTTTGTTATTGGACCTCTGTGCATGTCATGGATTGGCCATAACAGACACCATGTTTGAGCACAGGAAGGTTCATAAATGTACTTGGTACAGATCTGTCAACTGATCACTACTTGGTGGTGGGTTGGACCAGATGGCGAGGGAAGCTGCTGGACAGACCTTGTAAACCCAAACATGTAGTAAGGATTAACTGGAAACATCTGGCTGAGGCCCTTGTCGGTGAGGTCTTCAACTCCCACCTTCGGAAGAATTTCTCGTGCATTGTGGGGGAAGATGGGGACGTGGAATCCAAGTGGTCCATTTTTAAAGCCTCTGTTGTGGAGGTGGCTGCTAGGAGCTGTGATCAGAAGGTTGTCATTGCCTGTTGTTCAGTTCAGTTCAGTTCAATTTTATTATTAATGTCCCAAAGGGCAAATTAGCTACTGAACTGTAGCAGCAATCTGGTGAAATATCATCATCATCATTATCATCATCATCATGTCATCCAATGTCATTACAATGAAATGTCCCAATTCTAACTGCACAGTAACAGAATGTATTCATTATGGTAATGAGATAAGGGTTGATAAAAACAGTGTGCACAGTGGCACTGTAATGAAGAACACCCATCAATACTGATGCGGGAACTATCTTGAGCATTTAAAGGGTACGACAAAGAAGAAATCTTTTTCCAGAGATTATTATTGTAGTTTTGCATCAATGAATGTCACAATGTCACTATATTTTAAGATCTTTCAACCTGGTGGACATCAGCGGTGAGGGAGGCCACCAGGCTGAAGAAGGAGGCCTTTTGGGTCTGGTTGGCCTAGGGGTCACCTGAAGCAGCAGACAGGTATCGGTTGGCCAGAAGGGCTTCAGCTGTGGTGGTTGCCGAAGCAAAAACATCCCAAAAACCTGTGGGAGGAGTTTGGGGAGGCTATGGAGAAGGACTTTCAGTTGCCCTCAAGGAAGCTCTGGCAAACCGTTAGAGACCTCAAGAATGGAAAGTAGGGCTTGTCTCAGGCTGTGCTCAGCAGAGAAGGAGAACTGCTGACCTGAACTGGGGATATTGTTGAGTGGTGGAAGGAGCACTTTGAGGATCTCTGGAACCCGGCCATCATGTCCCCTGTGGAGGAGGCAGAAACCTGAAGACTAGGGGGAACCCTCGTCCATATCCCTGGCAGTGGTTGCTGAGGTAGTCAAAAAGCTCCCCAGCAGCAAGGCACCAAGGTTGATGAGGTTCACCCTGAAGGCTCTGGACACTGTTGGGCTGTCTTTACTGACATGCCTTTTCAGTGTTGTGAGGAGGTCTGGTACAGTGCCTGCGGAGTGACAGAGACAGTGGTGGTTCCAAAAAAGTTTCAAACAAAGAGGACCGGAGGGTGTGTCTCGATTATCAGGGTATCACACAGCTTAGCCTCCCAGGAAAAGTTTACTCCAGGGTGCTGGAAAGGAGGCTCCAACTGAATGCTGAACCTCAGATATAGGAGGAGCAATGCAAATTCTGTCCTGGCTGTGGAACAATGGACCAGCTCTTTACCCTTATGAGGCTGCTGGAGGGGTTGTGGGAGTTTGTCCATCGAGTAAACCTGTGTTTTGTGGACTTGGAGAGGGTTTACGATCCGACCCACTAGGAGTCTTGTGGGGGGTTCTGCAGAACTATGGGGTACCACGCTCCCTGCTACAAGCCATCTGGTCCTTGTGTGACCAAAGTGAAAGCTACGTCTGCATACTTTGCGTAAAGTCAAATACATTCTCGATGCGTATTTGCCTCTGCCAGGGTTGTCACTTGTCACTGATTCTATTAATAATATTCATGGACAGGATCTGGAGGTGCAGCCAGGGAGAGGAAGGGGTCCAGTTTGGGGACCTCAGAATTGCATCTCTGCTTTTTGCAGATGATGTGACACTATTGACTT